TTATATCAAAGTATGTAAAAGAGAAAGCTTCAGGCCTCATACAGCATTACAATTTATTTTATAGTAATAATTGCTTCATCCTTGAGGTGTAAATGTGACATTTTTAGCTGTGTACAACCGCACATTTTTTGAAAAACCTGAACACGCAAAGTCAACCGCCAGATCGATAAGCCTGTATAACGAAGTAAAGCGGCCAAATGAACGAGAATACGTGCATGCGCTCAGTGAGCAGTCATGCGCACTAGTCTTTGTTAGGCTGTACTGGACACTGTGCACCCACTCCGCGGCTTCTGAGCACCGTTACTACATCCATTTTTATTTCTTTTTCTGAATGCTGCCATCAAGTTACATAAAGAACATTTCACCACAAGGGACAAGCAATGAATGGAAAAGCAACAAATTGTAAATCTGGCAGTACACTCTTTTAGATCCGATATCCCGCGCCTCTACAATACGCTGCTGTAAAAAAACATCACCGCGCCAGGAAGAGATGCTCTTTTTACAGTCTCTTCATGTTGAGAGTGCAGCACGTAAAGTTACGAGCCATTTGCGTTGATGCCTGCCATGACAGCACGCATGCATGGCATGTAAGGGTGCGATTGCAACTGCACCCTTGCAATCATGTTTACAGCTGTTGTGGGGGCGATCACAGCCTTGACGAAACGGAAACTAAAATAGTTTTGATGAACCCCAAGAACAGGATGTTTCTGCTGTTCACGGCTCAATTTGGATGCTTATATATGAGTTTGGTGCACCAGGGCTGGTTTGGCACACCTGTTCCACTCCTGTTCTTGACCAAAAAAAAGGTGTAAAGAAAGGGTTAAGAGCTTGACTTTACTTTAAAATACATTACACATGCATTTACAGGACAACTAGAAAAAGTATCTGACAATTTTCTCTGAAGCAGATGTGCATTCCACAGAGCATACACAATGGTGAAAGATGCGACCTTGGCGACGTGCCAAGCATCTGTCTCCTGTGAGTGTCCATTCAAGCTAGACCACATCTTTATGACCCCTGCCAAGTTACTGGGTGAAAGTGTAAAATGCCGTGAATGACTCAACAGCAGGACTCCATCAAATTTTGTTGTGTACAGAGAAAATCGTGTATGGTGACGCTATGAGATTCACCCAGTGTTCAAGGATGAAAGCACGCCACAAACTCCAATTTTGAAGAGGCACAAGCTCTTCAAAGATGGCTCAGAGAATGTGGAGGATGAGCTCCACGCTGAATGGCCGCCGACGTGAAGAACCGATGACAACACGCAATGTAAGTGTGAAGTGCTGACTTCAGACCGTCATTTATTATGAAAATGATCGCAGAAAAACTTGCCATTATTAGGATGACAGGCAGAGAATTATAAGAAAAAATTTGCTGATGCAGAAGACGTGCAAAAAAGCAAAAGCAGAGGCAAGTAACTGCTTGTCAAGACCTGCGATACAATCAAGAAGACTCCAGCTATTTTGACAGCACAAGAGAGAAAATTTGGATATAAGCATACAACCCAGAAACTAAGTAGCGAAGATTCAAACAGTGCATTCTTGCATCACTTCATCCAAAAAAGGCTGAAATGAGCAAATCCAAAGTGAAAGCCATGATCTTCCTTTAGACCTTCCTGACAACGTTATCATCGCGTCCCACCAGGAATTACCATACTGCAAAGTTCTCGCCTATCACAGCACGCACTAACAATTTTAAGTATTCTTTTTTTCCCCGCACTATAACCGACTGGAATAACTTCCCGCATGAAATTCTTTCATCTGACAATGTGCTGAAATCTATTGATCAAATGTTTGACTTGTAAAATTTTGTATTAATATTTTACAGTGTTTTCAAAATATTTTGTATTGTCCTGTTTATTGTTTTTACCTCGCCAAAGATTGTATAATTGTTCTAACGGCTCTGTAACACCCCCACTCCTGCTTGGGCCCATTTGTGGCCTGCAGCATTGTATAAATAAATAAATAAATAAATAGATCAACAAAAAGGGGGTCATCCACTACAAGTTTGCATCTGAGGGGCACAGATTGAGTCTTGCTCTTAAACAAAGCCAGCCATCACTGGAAATCGGGTCAATCCAAGGGAAACATCTTAGCCTGAAATTCGACCACTGCTGAAAAAAAAATTGAACTGGAAGGTAACTATGTAGGAGTGATTTTAGTGAAGTATCTCAGTTAAAGAAATGTGTGGTCATGTGGCCCCCTTTCAAATGTGCCAGTGAAAAGAAAACCTTCGGCAGGAATAAATTATACATATGCAACCTTCAAACTAGGTATGGCAACACATTTGGTTTGAAAGCATTATGTTGTCATTTTTCTTCCACGTAAAGTCACAACTATAACCATGTATTACTTCTATCGCCTAAATAGGCGTAGCAAAGAAGCAAAAAAACAGGCGAATTCAGGCAATATTTGTAAAAAATGCGGCAATGTTTTAGCTGCAAAACGCTTCATGCTTTTTTTATCAGTTGACGAACTATCTGTATCCAAATATATATGTTTACAAACATTAAATTGATACAAATTTTTGCAAAACTGACAAAAAGTGACTTTTTGGGGAAATTAAATCAGAAATCAAACATCAAGGCCATCGTGCTAAAGATACACGAGATAGTTCATTATGTGATCCAATGTCTTTTCTTTTTCTGTGGAAGATATTCCTCCAAACTTTCTTTAAAGCAAAAAAGCTATTTTTATAGTGCACAACCAACGTCGGTGGTGTGCATTGACAAAGTGTGTACATATGCGCTGCTGTCAGTCTCCCTTGTCTGCTACTTTTCTTGTCTGCTGCAACGCAGACGGACGCAAGTATATAAACACAATTGGACAATTTCAAGCCACTTTAAATTCGCTTTTGTGCTGTAAGAAGAGAAAAAACACCTTATCCTTGTTTCGGGGAGCTTTCCTGCTAGTATGTCTGTTTTTACTTTTGGCAGTGCAACGAAGTTTCTGCAATGGGTGAGTTAACACTTAGAGGACAGTAGGTGAGAGAATCGCCGGGCTGATACTATTATTTTAAGCAGAGTTTGAGCTCACAGGTGCCTGATATGTTGTAGTAGGCAACGAAACCTGGTGCCAGAACTTGAGAATGGATGAGGAAATGCAAATTTCTGTGAAAAGCCTCCCTGACGCTCCATCCTCAGAATTTAAATGCGAGAAAGTTCTGCTAGAATTTGCAGGTAATTGATGAGGACACATCTATTTAGCAAGGCTGCTTGTATGAATTATAATTCACTGTGTTCTTTATGCTTGGATGTTCCAGGAAAATGCATCCCATATATATAAATATGCAGAATTTGCAAAATTATGGATGTTTGCTTACATATTCGTTTAGAGTGGGGTATACGACTAAAAAGTGAAGAATTTCATCCGCAGACAGAGAGAACTAAAGTATAGTCAAATACAGTTATTGCTAGAAATGGAGACATACATTTAGAACTATATTTAAGAAAACAAAATTCAGCCATGCACTTTCAAGCCAAGGTACTGCCACAAGACTTGCTACAACAGTCGACGGCAACTAACAACTGTTTCCAGCTTGAGTGACACATATGAGCGCCTTTTCCTACTACGCTCAAAGCTCAGTCTGCATGAGGGTGTGACAATTTGTGAACACCAAATGGAAATTTATCTTTGCTGATACACTTCCAAAATTTTTTCAAAGCTGTATTCAGACCCACTTTTTCGACATACAAAATGCTGTCATGGGTCGAGAGTCAACACAATGGCCCTAGCAGATGCCCATCCTTCTTTTGACCTTGTACCCGGAAGTCAAATCTGTGAAGCATGCAGGCGTATGTTATATACTGCTCTGAAGAATGTGCACCCTGAGCAAGATCGTTGCGATGTCCACAGGAAGTGAATGCGCACCTGGAGGGCCAGCTGCTGAAACAAATGAGCTTTTAGACGTAGATACTGGTAGTGAACAGACACTGGTACAGCATGGGCGACAGAAGCGACAGGTATGAGGACTTTGGCCTTGTTTTAAGTAACAACATGACCTTGATGTGAGACCTCAAAAAGAACTTCTTGGAAGAAAAAAGCAGAGAAAAAAAGCTTCAGTACCTTACTTTTGCCCCCAAGCCTAGGTCTCGCGAGAAAACCATGCAGTTTTTTGGCGCATCAGAAAAACAACTTCGTGAAGCTTTGAAGATCATGGCTTGCAATGGGATTCTTGGTGCGTGAAATGAAAAACATGGCGGCTCAATCAGCAACGAAGCAAAATCAACAATCAGGGACTTCTACAAGGATGATTCAATGACATATTGCTTACCAGAAAAAAAGGACATGTTGCAAAGAAAACAGAAGAGTAAATTTAATGAATTTCAAACAGATACATGAACAATAAAAAATGACCTTCAATTCAAAGTGCGGGTTCCCCCCATTCGCCCCCGTGCGTCCTCGCCACTGTGTCCTGGCTGGTGGTAGTGACACACACACAGTGTGTGTGTGCATGAGCCGCCAAAACTAAGTTATTGTTTCATGCCAGTGACCTAAAACAAACAAATGAAGAGCCCTTGGCTACATTGGTATGTGGGCTTAATAATGAAGACTGCATGTTTAGCAAATGCGCATCTTGCTCCTGCACAACTTATGCAGTGAATTTGCTTCAAGAAAGCCTCGCCTATATTTTTGAAAGCGGAGACAGCATACATGTCCGACAATAAATGAGCTAAGTTTGCTAGTCACTCGAAACCATTGTTCTGACACAAGATGAATTTTCCGAAAGGTTTGCAGTGATGCTCAGCCTGCTGAAGACAAATCACTTTGCTAACAAGCAGCAGTCAAGATACTTGACAGAAATTAAATCAAGTTTAAGTCTGCAACAGGCCGTTGTGGTGATACATTTTGTGAAAAATTACACTTCTATACTTCAGGACACGTCTCAGTCATACCACTAGGTGAATGCACAGGCCACAATGAACCCTATATGTTGACTGCATTATTGATCAGCAAAGCACCCATATGGGTGTTTCTGTGCGATTTTTGCCGTTATTTCAGATTGTCTGGAGCACGACACAGTCGCAACACATGCAATTCAGTGTGGAGTATTGGAGGTAGTGAAATGAGATTTACCACAAGTGAAAAATATTTATTATTTTTCTGATCAAGCTTTCTGGCAATATAAAAACAAAACACTTTTTAAACCTTTGCTACTACGAGCGGGACCACAGCTTGTCGGCAAAAAGCAACTTCTTTACAACTTCACATGGCAAAAGTGTATCCGATGGTGTCGGCGGCACAATGAACGTCTGGCAACAAAAGCAAACCTACAGAGGCCATATCGTGGTCACCTTCAGAGACATCAAAATTTATTTCTGTGGGCTAAAAGCAATGTAAGGAAAACTACAGTAATTAGGGTGCCTCATTCAATAATTCAAGAAAAAAGAAGCAAGCTCACTTTGAGATTCACCATGGTGCTAACATTAAAAGGGACCCGACAACTGCACTATTTCAGACCGTCCACTTTTTCTGGCCTTCCTAATGGCCTTACATCGTTCTCCAAAACTCATGAAATTTAACTGAAAAAGCCGGTCTGATTGGCAAAGTAGTGTATTTTGATATTAACGATTAGGGTATCAACAGAGGAGAGAACCAGAAACCATTTGATTCATACACCAGTGGGAGATAAAATGAAGCGTAGTCAATGAACGGATACTGTTGCCCATGTTTTGTTTGTCGGCATTACTTTCCCTAGTGCCAAGAAAGCCAGTTATGAAGAGAAACAAGTAAGGTGGTTCTAATATAAATACACTCATGCGAAGCGACCCAGCCGGAACGTGCTTGAACAACTGATGTGGTCTTGATGCAAGCCCGAAAAATCGTCGAGAACGAGCAGGTGTTTTGACATCGTTACTACTTACTCCTGATGCTGGTTGTGCACATCAAAATGTTATTTTTTTTTGCTTTAAAGATGCAGTGAAGCACTTTTTCAAGTAGCCATGGAATGGACACGGTAGAAGAAATTATTGTCTCACGATTTCAACACCGCGAAAATTTTAAGGATCCGTCCAGTACGAGTGGAGTTACTAAGATTTGTCGCACGCTGCAATCACATTCTCTCGTCCCGAAGACAGCGCTGGAAACTAAGCAGGGAAAAATGGCAAAGGCAACGAAAATACGTCACGGGTGCCTCGTGACCTTAACCACTTTTTCTTTCTTCGAATAAGCAACTTTTCCTATGTGACCGTGCGCGCACGCGGACAGGTCAAGACCTTTCGCAGTGATCCCTGTAACGATGAAGAGCACCATCTTCAAATCAGCCAATGGCTGATTGATGGACTTCTACGAGTGATTTTTGAGCTTTCTCCGTCATTTGTCGAGAGAAGAGAAAACAATTTTTAGCTGAATTTGATCATTTATTGTGAATTCCAGGCCACGTGCTGCACTATATTATTTGGCTTGCGAGTTCTTGGGGCCTCTACAACCGATCGGCAGCATTTTCTGACCATGCCCAAAAGTGTAGCAAGGCCCCTTTAAAGAAAATTTACAGGAATAAAATTTTCCACATCAAAAGAAAAGGCAATGGATCACATCATGAACTATTTCGTGTATTTTTAGCACGACAGCCTCGATCCTTAATTTATGATTGAATCTCGCCAAAAAGTTACTTTTGTCAATTTTGCAAGAATTTTTCTCAAAATGTTTGTTTATAGACGTTTTAAAATAGGTTAGGTTAATTTGGTTTTTATGGCACAAAAGCAGCTAAGGCTATGCTGCGCCACACACAAGACTTTCAGGAATGGACACTGAAAAGATGAGATTTTAAAGCTTATTCAACAGATTACATTTTTCCAGAAAGTTTAGCAAGTCAGGCAGAGGTACTAGAGGGTCATTTCCTAGGAACAAAGCAGGGGTAAAAGTACGTGTTTGTATAGCTTGCTGAAATGTTTTTGTCTCTGTGTTTCAATGGTAGGACATGTGATTAGAATGTGCATAAGTATACACACTTCTTCGCATTTTTCACACGTTGGTTGTTCTTCCTTTGCGAGTAATAAGTTGTGTGTCAAGTGTGTGTGTCCAATGCGAAGTCGGCATAATACAACTTCAATACACCGTTGCTGGTGACGGCAGGTCTTCCATTCCCGGAGTGTGGGTTTCACCAGGTGGAGCTTATTGTTCGTGCAGGTGTCCCATTGCTTTTGCCATTTTGCTAGTAGAGCCAGGCGAATTGTTCTCTGGATATCTTTAAGGGAAATTTTCACTTTTGTTACTGTTTTATGGGCTGCCTGAGAAGCATACTTATCTGCTTTTTCGTTTCCTGGTATCCCAACATGACTTGAGACCCAGCAGAAATGGATGGAGGCTGCCTGGCTGTTTAAGTATACCTTGTTTAAAATGTCGCCCCCTATTGGCTCACATTCGGATTTTATATGTAGTGCTTTTAGTGTGCTTAGTGAGTCGGTGTACATGATTGCTTTCTTGTATTTTTTAGCGATGATTTTCCGAACTGCTTCACTCAAGGCATAAGCTTTAGCTGAAAAAATGGAAAAACTACGAGGTACTTTCACAGAAATTACACTTTTCGTCGTCGCAATCCCAATACCCATGTCGTTTTCCGTTTTTGAGCCATCTGTGTAAAATTCTTCGTAATCCCTATATTCGTGCTGAAGTGTATAAAATTCTGTGGGGTGCTTTTTTTGTTAAAACGGCTTAGTGAAAATTCGCATAGCTGCGACAGGTCGAACCATGGCGGCAGTCTTGGTGGTTTAATAGCGACATCTAGTGATCCATCAGGGATGGTATAAAAGCGGCAGTATTCCTCGAAACGTAGGACAAGTGGTTTGATTAGGTTCGGTTTGTTGAGGTAGTGTGAGCGTGAGTCACATTTTGCGGCAATTTCGTAGCAGATGTGTTCGGGTGACGACCTTATTCTTAAAACATGACAAGGTTAGTGATGCTCTTCGATCACATAGAGGGGGCTAATTGCATTCTACGTATAGACTTTGCACAGGTGATGTTCTGTAAGCACCACTGGACAGACGGAGACCAAGGTTGTGTATAGGGTCAAGACGGAAGATGTACGAGTTTCCCGCCGAGTCGTAGACTACGCATCTGTAGTCTAAAATGCTGCGTACAAGAGATTGGTATATATGTATAAGGCAGAGTCGATCGGAAGCCCAGTGCTTATGGGAGAGTACTTTGAGCACGTTGAGTGCTCTGTTTGCCTTAGTTTTCAGTGCGTTTATGTGTGACAGAAAATTTAGTTTTCGGTCAAATGTAATTCCTAGAAATTTGTGTTCTTGTTTTACCGGCATATTAATGTTGTATAGTCTGAGCGCGGGTTCAGGGAACAATCCTCTTTTTTGCGAAAAGAGAACAGCCGTGGTTTTTTGGGCTGAAAAGTGGTAACCATTTTGGTCGGCCCATTTTATAAACCGATTTATTGTAATTTGGAGTTGCCTTTCGCAGGATGATAGGCTGGAGGCTCGGCATTCAATTTGGAGATCGTCAACATAGATGGAGTGCATGACTATACGGGGTATACTATACGGGGTATAGCCCTGTTGATGGAGTTCATTTTCACTATAAACAGGGTGGTGCTCGAAACGCTTGAATATCCGCACTGTTCCGGGAAAGCGCACCCCCGCACCCCCAATTCAATCTAATCCAATCCATTCCTGCTTTGCACTGCAGCTTGATTGCTTCACACGTGCTCCACGCCCTTTGTTGCTTTGTATCTGAGGTGAGAGGTCATCTATATCTATGCAGTCCTGCACAGTGGTGAAGAAAATCGAGGTTATTGGATGGCATCGAGAAAACGGAGAGCAATATATACCTGAGGAACCAAGAACACTAAAAGAAAACTTGAAGAAGCCGTCGTGGCAACATGTGCTCAAATTTGTTGCCGAGGCGCAAGCCGCTGTTCCTGAGGAGAGAGTGGCACGGTCCTTCAAGGGATGCGGCATTAGTGATGCCCTCGATGGCTCAGAGGACGCCGACTTACACAGTGGACTGACCGATGTTGGAGATGTGGTGCCGGAAGAGTGCAGCGGACTTCAAGCGGAATGCTGCGACCTGTTTTTTGCAAGTGACTCCAAGGGGTCTTTTGGTGGTTTTGAAAGAGATTAAAAGCTACAGCGAATCCTGGACCTAAATAAAGTTCACTGTAAAACAAATTTCAATTCATGCACACCAAGTTTTTTGGTTTTTTTTTTTGCTTGAAAATTTCGCCGCCATTTTGATTTTTGGTACCATTCAGAAATAGCACCCTCCCCCTTTGGCAGCAATTCAGACTTATTTGGGGGGAGAGGGGGCGCTTGCTCGGAATTTTACGGTAGTTGTTTGCCCAGCCAAACAGACAAATGAACTTCTCCTCATCCGACATTTTGATTTTCAGCAGCACAAATGCTTTGCCACCTCAAAAAGCCAAATGACATTGACCTCTTAGAGGCCGCGCAATGCCAAACATGGCGATCCTTACACACCAGCGGTAGGGGCCACACGGCCGGACACATGGTGGAAAGAGGGAGAGTGAATAAAATGTATCGGTTCTAGGCTGTGCTCCTCCTTTTACGTGAATACGGTCAATGCAAACTGTACATATAGGTGTACCTTTTGGTGGGATGTGAGCAAGAAGGAAACGAACATTCATTTTTTTTTTTGTAATTAACCACTTTACGCGCACGTATGGAAGCTAGTTTCAAACAGTTTTTTCTACATTTATTCCGACTTTATGCTGCTCTTTAGCGCCTGTTTATACAGTATGTAGAATAAGGAGCATTTGATGTCGTAGACACTTTCCCAACTTTCGTTTGAGAGCATTTAAACCAATGGTCGACAGCACTACATGTGATCGGGGCTATCATGACAAAGAAAGTTCACATTAAAGAAAATTATTTAAAATTTTCATTACAAAAGCTGATCGGCTAATAGTAACAAGCATGGCTTGTGCATTAACAGGCGAATCAGCAGTCTTAGAAACAAAAACCTTGGATAATTGACCCTGGTATGGTGGATCTTCTCGCAAAAGACGTGACAAGAAAATTTTAAACTGTGGCCGAGAAAAATTAAAAAAGTATATTAATAAAGTAAATGTGTCAAGCGCTAAAACAATTGCAACAGAAGCCAGGCCTCCTCAATCTGCTCGCCCCGCCACGGTGGTCTAGTGGCTAAGGTACTCGGCTGCTGACCCGCAAGTCGCGGGTTCGAATCCCGGCTGTGGCGGCTGCATTTCCGATGAAGGCGGAAATGGTGTAGGCCCGTGTACTCAGATTTGGGTGCACGTTAAAGAACCCCAGGTGGTCAAAATTTCCGGAGCCCTCCACTACGGCGTCTCTCATAATCAAATGATGGTTTTGGGACGTTAAACCCCACATATCAATCATGCTCATTCTGCTCAGTGTACTTCTCAAAATAAGTTTGGAGGAAAGGTGCATAAAAGCATCAACTACTTTTTCACTAACTGCTCTACAAATCTGTGGTGTGATAGATGATCAATTTAATACACAACCTTACTGAATCAAATATAGTAGATGCACACTTCTTTTCAACATGTACAATTCTAGATACAATACGGACTCTACACCAGGACAGATGTTTGTCCTCTGTACACACGACAAGGGTTGCAAATGACGCAGATCATGTCACTGCCTAGGTGGCTGTATGTGGGAAGGACATGAATTTATGCAATCAATAAAGTACTACACTTCTATACTTAAGCGCCACTCATGCACATAAGCTGAAGATGAGTAAAAATACTGGTGTTTTATGACACTTACACCAGATGGCAGGCAGCTGAGACTATCCTTTGGTGCTTCCAGTGCAGCCAGCTGGGAGTTGCTGTACCGGTCACTGTTGTCATGGGATTTGTATGTGATAGCCATACGGGGCACTCTGTGTTGTTCAGAATCAACATAAGTATCTTCAGTGAGAAGCACATGAACCTTGAAGAGCTTCATAAACACGAGCTCCATCATGCTACTTGCGTCCCCAAAATAACTGAAAAACTGACTCATGTTAGTCAGATTACGCCCGTCGGCAATCATCCCATCCACCTGCAAAACAAAGGTCCCACAGTTTAAACTTCAAGACTGACGAAGCGTATAAGCATGCGTTGCAGAATTCAAAACGCGATATCAATATAAAAATTTCGGCACATTAACGAAAAAGTACGAACACTGATGTCAAGAGTCATGGGTGTCGGCATGCCTCTCTGAAATGTCAGTTCACTTAAAATGAGTTACACGTTAACACCAGGCAAATTCGAACTGACATTACGCGCTCTATAAACACATATCGCAGACAGGCATTGCATACAATTAAATGTAAAAGACACTTACCTTTACCAGCATGTCATCGAGCAAGGTTACTATCAGGTCTTTTTCCTCATGAAGCTTGCACAGACGCCTCTGTAGCTCGTCTAAGCCGAGGGAATACGGTCGCGGCCCCGCCATTCTCGGCAAAAAGCTCTGAAAGGGAACGGTTCAAGAGCGACAGCACCTAAATTGATATTACGGCAATATAGTGAATGATTTGGTTACCTTTGCGCCGTTAGAATAGGTACCTATTTAGTCGCAGCCTCTTCGAACTCTAACATAACTTTTACCACAAAATAAATCCGTACAGAGTTTTGTCAACAGCTTCCTAACACAAAGCTGCACAACCAGTTGGAAACAAGAAGCATCACTACTCAGCCGATCACAACGTGCCGGTAACATGCGCTCTAATTTAGACTACTCAGGAAACGCGTAATAGCGACCAAGGTCAAGTAATAAAAATCAAATTTCACGCCGACAGTGACTGCAATGAGAAAGTTTACAGACCGCGGCAACACACACAGCGGTAGCCACGTAAAACGCGGGCTCCGTGGCCGTAGCCAAACAGATCACGTGGCTTCCAATATCCAATATCGAAACTGAAACCACTACGTTTGAGCTAAAAGCATTTGTATTGAAACAAAATGAAAACAAATGCTATCATCAGATGCGAAATTAGCAGGAGTTTGTGAGAATTTTGCGGTTAATAAAGCTTACAGGAATATTATCACAGGTCCAGTCGTCACCATCAAGCCCTACTTCACTTGAGTCCTTACCTGTCCAGATCTATAGCATGGTTCCTATCATAGGTTCCTAAAAAAATTAACTGTGGTTCCCATGATGGTTCCTTTTTTAACCGCGTGTCCCCGCTCTCGTTTAATCGCACGGCGGCCATGTGCACGGCGCTGGAGTAAGAACGCCTGCATTCTGTCAGAAAATACCAGCACCACATGAAAATGGGATGTAAATTTCCAGCTGGAAATTGAGTTTCTAGCCTGGATTTTAGCTGAAAACTGCTATTCAGGCGGGAAATTTCCCGCTGTGGATTATTTTCATTTCCAGCTTGAAGTTTTCCAGTCCCAGTTTGGAAGTTATAATTTCCAACTGAAAATTGTTTCAGTTGCATTTATTTCTGCGTTGCAGCTTAATTAGATGCAGCAGCTGAAAGCGCACTGACAACAGGTACGAACCCAAAAGGCTGAAATCTGGAAACGCAGTTTCTAAACGTGCCAGAGAACGTACGACAGAACGCGTGGTTAGTTAACAATTTCGAAGAAGCATGATGCGTTGGTGCGCCAAAAAGTGCAGCTATATCATCGAAGGGGTGTTCTCAAAGCTGCTTGCATAAGTGCATAACTAGTTGCTGGCGTTTTGTCGTTCGCCACGTATTAGACAGAGATATCAGTGTGATCGGAACATGGCAATTGAAGGTAGGAGCAAACGGGCTTGTACACACCTGGAGACGATTTCCGCGCTCGTCGCAACGTGGCACGCGAGATTGTCGCATGTGATTCATAGTGATAATCAATGGACGGAGGGGAACGAGGACGAGCACGCCTGTCGACAAGGCTCCGACTATCCGGCGTGTGGTTCGTTTAGTCCTAGGGCCTTTGTTAGATTGGTTCGTTTAGTCCTAGTAGTCGCAATCCGTCAGCAGCACCTTTCCTTCCTCCGTGGTCAGCAGCAATTTTATGACTAGCATGACGTATCACTTTGAAAGAGGACGATCATGACAACGATGACGATGCGCTCCTGGAATGAAGCCTTGAGATTGTGTCTAGGTCTTCCTAGGTTTGTGACAAACAATGTTTTGTATCAGGAAGCACGATTACCTACATTGCTGTGCCGTTAACGGTTCAGGCGTTTTTGAAATTTTGTAGCTATGCGCCAAGACGATCTGAATATGATTTTATAAATGACTTAGACACCTTTTTTCTTGCCCATTGGCCATGGTTTCGAACACCTCAAATTGCTTTTGTCCAGAAACAACTAGATAGGATAAATGTAAAAATTCGAGATGTGATTGCGGTGCAGGTTACAAATCAAATTCTTAAGATAGAATTCGATGAGATTTTTCCCTCTAAGCCGAAATTACAATCCTATAGGGTCTTAAATAGCCGACTGCAGGATTATCTTGCACACGCAGAAACGAATAATATTATAGCCACAGATGCTTCAGTAATGGATGAAAAGACAGGTGTAGGTATATACTCCCATTCGCTTGACTGGTCTTTTTCATTAAGATTGCCGGATCTCACCCCAGTTTTTGAAGCTGAACTGTTGGCAATAGTTTTAGCGCTGCGAAAGCTACATTTGAATGCCGCTAACGCGATCATAATCACGGATTTCCTTTCAGTATACGTCAATTACGGCGTCATCAAAATCGATGGCCTTAAAGACGCTCCTTATGCTAGTTCCTCCTCAGCTGCAGCTACTGAAATTAGTATGGGTACCCGGTCATTGCGGCTTAGAAGTAAATGAAATCGCCGACTCTCTAGCACGAACAGCATTGGAAGGGCCAGCACTATCAGTCCTTCCCGAAGTGGTCACTATAACTGCGATAAGATACAAAAAACTTGCGCTTAGTGCAGACGCTATGGAAGCAATATTGTAACGATGTTGAAGGACTCGGGGTGTAATAAAACGTATTTATTAAAGGGCGAACCTATGCCCACAACTCAAAGGGACTATGGTCGTAGCACGTTACAGCAGAACACCAAAGATATCTCCTTCTTCTACTTCTTCAAAAAGAGTCCCAAGCGCGTGGCGCACATCAGCAGGGGCCAGCTGGGTTCTCATGCTATCATCATCGTGTCTGCGCAACACTAGACGGCGCGCATGTATGTCTCTGTGCGCATGGTGATGGGCGCGTTGTTTGAATGCAGGCACTATGTCGCGACATAATCCCCCTCCTCATACGCATCGTCCCGATGCGTCAGGCAATGAATAGATTCGTGTTTGGCGTCACTGGTCTTCCGGTGATCTTTCATAGTAAGGCTTCATCCGGACTACATGTACAACCTCTGTAGGGTTGCGGCGTTTTGAGCTCCCGTGTATAGCGGATCTGACTTGGTAAGTTACATCGCTTACACGATGGAGTACTTCGTAAGGCACGAAGTAGCGGCTAAAAAGTTTTTCGGAAAGTCCACGGTGACGCACTGGAGTCCATATCCATACTTTGTCACCTGGTTGAAAATGCGCTTCGGTACGACGCTGATTGTACCGATAGGAGTCGATACGCTGTTGGCGGCGTATTCTGTATCTCGCCATCCGTCGTGCTTCCTCGGCTCTTTGCAGGAAGTCGTCTAGGCCAGGTGGATTGCTGCTTTCATCATTTAGTGGTAACATGGCATCCAGTGGAGTGGTGACTCTTCGGCCGAATACAAGTTCAAATGGTGTCACTCGCGTTGTTTCTTGAACGGCTGTATTATATGCGAACGTGATGTAGGGCAATAATTCATCCCACAGTTTATGTTCGACGTCGATATACAATGAAAGCATATCAGTCAGAGCTCTGTTCAAGCGCTCCGTTAGGCCATTTGTTTGAGAATGGTATGCTGTAGTTCTTCTCTGGTCTGTATGGGTCATTCGCATCAGACATTTCATTAGGTCTGCAGTAAAAGCTGGGCCACGATCTGTAATTACGACGCTGGGTGCACCATGTCTGAGGACTATGTTGTTGATGAAGAACTTGGCAACTTCAAGAGCTGTTGCGGTGTACAGCGAGTCAGTCTCAGCGTAGCGAGTGAGATAGTCCGTGGCTACGACTATCCACTTCTTGTGCGCAGTCGATGTCGGAAACGGGCCTAGGAGATCCATACTGACTTGTTGGAATGGGGCATGCGGTGGTTCTATTGGCTGGAGGAGGCCTGCAGGTTTCACGGATGGAGTTTTGCGTCTTTGACACTCACGGCAAGTTTTCACATAGCGCTGAACTGATGATAACAGTTTTGGCCAGTAGTATTTTAGGTGAATTCTGGCGATTGTACGGCTGACACCCATGTGTCCAGATGTTGGCTCATCATGACATGCGTGCAGAATCTCGTTTCGTAAAGGTGCAGGTACAACGAGTAAAAACTTGTCACCATGAGGCTTGAAGTTCCTCTTGTAAAGGACCCCTTCTCGAAGACAGAACAAAGGAAGCCCTCTGGATAAAGTGCGCGGGACTTTAACGTTGAGCCCTTGGAGACGCTGTATAAGCGGCAGCGATTCGGGGTCATTTTGTTGTTGTTGAGCGATTTCTGAGGCCTGGACGACGCCTAGAAACGGGAAGTCTTCTTCCTCCGGCTCACTCGTCTCCACTGGTGCGCGTGACAGGCAGTCGGCATCGCTGTGCTTTTTCCCAGATTTGTATACCACAGTAACATCGTACTCTTGTAGCCTAAGGCTTCATCTTGCTAGTCGGCCAGAGGGATCCTTAAGATTCGCCAGCCAACACAAGCAATGGTGGTCACTGACTGCTCGGAATGGTCTACCGTAGAGGTACGGCCGAAATTTACTTATGGCCCAGATGACCGCGAGACACTGTTTTTCGGTTGCAGAGTAATTTGTCTCAGCTTTCGAAAGCTTGCGGCTGGCATACGCTAGCACTTTTTCTTGGCCGTTTTGCCGCTGGACTAGAATGACTCCGAGGCCGACGTTACTCGCATCAGTGTGAACTTCAGTTTCGGCAGTATCATCGAAGTGGGCGAGGATTGGAGAGGCTTGCAGGCGTGCTCTTAACTCATCAAATGCTTCCTGTTGTTCACTTTCCCACATAAAGGGCACCTCGTCTTTTGTCAGATTAGTAAGTGGTTCAGCAATGTTCGAAAAATTTTCCACAAATCGCCGCTAGTACGCGCATAAACCCAGGAAGCGACGTACTGACTTCTTGTCTTTGGGTGTCAGGAACTTCGCGATGGCAGCTGTCTTTTCGGGATCTGGCCGAACGCCATCGGAGCTGACGACGTGTGCTAGGAATCGAAGCTCTTCAAAAGCGAAGTGGCATTTTTCTGGCTTGATGGTCAAGTCTGCTGAACGAATGGCTTCTAATACTGTGCGGAGTCGCTCTAGATGTTGGTCGAATGTAGCGGAAAATACGACAACGTCATTCAAGTACACCAAGCAGGACTGCCATTTCAGTCCCGCGAGGACAGCGTCCATCATTCTCTAAAACGTAGCTGGTGCTGTGCACAGGCCCAATGGAAGCGCTTTAAATTCGTAGAGGCCGTCTGGGGTAATGAATGCCGTCTTTTCACGGTCGCGCTCATCCACCTCAATTCACCAATATCCGCTCTTGAGATCAAGAGAGGAGAAGTATTTCGCACTCCGTAGTCGATCGAGTGTATCATCGATACGCGGCAGAGGGTATACATCCCGTTTCGTTACGCTGTTCAGTTTCCGATAGTCGACGCAGAATCGAAGGCTGTTATCTTTCTTTTTAACAAGCACTACGGGAGACGCCCATGGACTGCTGGAAGGCTGTATCACGTCATCTGAAAGCATCTCCTCCACTTGTTTCTTGATGACGTCTCTTTCCTTTTGCGATACTCGATATGGGTGTTGG